TGAATATTAGCTAAAAAACACAGTAAACAGAGCATTAGCCAAAAACTAAACTAAACAGAACACTAAAAAATAAAATCAGCTGAATATTAGCTAAATACTAGCGTAAGAAGAATACTTGTAAAAGACTAAAATATGCTAAAAACTAGACAAACTAGCTAAAAACTAAAATTTGCCGAAAAACTAGCTAAAACTAACAGAAAAGTTAAATTAACATAACAGTAGCTACAAACTTAAATAAGCAGAATATTAGCTAAATAATACAATAAACAGAGCATTAGCCAAAAACTAAACTAAACAGAACACGTACTAACACCTAAAATGAGCCAAATACTTGTAAAATAACTCAAAGCTAAAAACTAGCCAAAAAGTAAGGAAAACAAAACACTAGCTTAAAACTAATATCAGCAGAATTTTAGCTAAATACTAAGTTACACTTAAAACACGTGCTAACAACCAAAATAAGCTGAATACTAACTAAAAACTAAAATAAACTAAAAGCTAATAAAAGCTAAAAAAGTAGCCAGGAACTCAAGTTAACAAAACACAAGMTAAAAACTTATATCAGCAGAAAACTAGCTAAAAAACTAAAATCGGCAGACAATTAGCTAAATACTAAAGTAAGTAGAATACTTGTGAAAAACTAAAACAAGCTGATTGCTAGATATAAACTAGACAGAACATTAGCCGAAAATTAAATAAGCAGATCAMTAGCTAATAACTAATATAAGCTGAATACTTGTGAAACCCTAACGAAAACCTGAAGTGAAAAGTGAACAATATACTAGCTAAAAACTCAGCAGGAATATTAGCTAAATACCAAGGTCAATAAAATACTTGCTAAACACTAAAATAAGGTGAACCCTAGYTAAAAACATCAGCAGAAGACAGAGCTATCTACGACAGGTAAGATACTGGATGTCTAAATGCTTCTCTAAAGTCCCACTTCAAAATATCTGAACTACTCCTTTAGTTGAACACAACAATGTGGGAATAAACAAACTGAGCATCAAGATATGAGTGTAAGGCTGGTACAAAGATCATAAGATGAATTTGGTAAACATTTCTTTATTAGACAAACAGTAAATCTGAGTGAATTTAACATCTTTCACTGAAGGTTCACAGTTTTGCCGGAATTAGTGTTTCTCCCCTCCTCTTATTGTCAGTAAACACTTTCTGAAATCTGCCCTTCGGATGATGATAAAAAATAACAAAATGCGCTCTTAATTTGCAGCAGCTGTGTGGGGATATTGTTTGTTGTCGTTCTCCTCTGCACGTTGAATTAACTTTCCCCCCCTCGTGCTGCCGTGCCGCCACATTGTTACTGAAGTGTTATCACCTGGCTAACACGCTTGAGGGAGGGGGGACGTCGAGGTTAATTTGCTTTTAGATGTTGCCGGATTCTGAGGATTTCTATTCTAAGTGAGCAGCTTGTGCTCTGCAGTGCTGTTTTAGCTCGTGTGTTCTCAGCACCTGCTGCTACATCCRCCTGTTGGGCTGTCGGTGCCAGTTTCCCAAACTGACCTTAACCCACTGTGGAGRCCATCTTGTTCTCTTCTTAGAGTGAGATGTTTGACACAAAAACAGATTTCCTTCATTTTGAAGGTAATCGTTTCATGGATTATCTCTTATAATTCCAATTTGATCGGTAAATAAAAAAAAGCTTCTCTTAAAGGATTGGATTTCGCCTGCTGTCTTGGATTCCAAAGTTTGCATTGAAGCTCTTATGTGATCTGCTGTAGATGTAGATATACATAAGGCATTTATCCCAGCCCTGGTTGTGTTTGCATTGAGCAGAGAACCGCTGACAAGTGGTTATTATTATTTTTTTTGGCGACACAACAATAATGGACACCAAACTCAAATTAAAAGTACCAAAGTCTGTACCAGACCATCCAGCAGTATGATGCTTACGACGAGAGGGCAGGACAACAGAAAACAATAAGTTAATGTTAGCTTGTTGTTGTTTAATAACTGGGAAAAAACATTACTGTCTCTGCAAACGATTCACGTAAAGTTACTCTCATCTGTGTGACGTAACCCCGCTCCAGTCAGTGAACCAATCAATAGCTGACATCAAATCAGACCAGTCGGGGCTGGCCTGGATAGAACCACAGATCTCGGGTTTCCAGAAATTTGGCCAGTGCAGACAGTTGAAATGTATTGGGGATGATGCTCAGCTACTACCTCACGGGTGAAGGAAATTTTGACACTGATTTCTACACCGGCTTTTTCTTTTTARCTAAATAGCTGTCGAATGGACCAAYGGTTCCCAAACTTTTCATGTTTTAAAGGGATCCCTGATTAGTTGTAACATTAGACATTATTTGATAAACATATATTTTAACTGTAAAATAAAGACTGTAAAAATACTGTAGGATGTTTAGTTTTTTTAATTTTTAAACTAAAAGTTTATTACTATATTACACTGACGGAGCCATTTTATTTACACACAAAGCATTCTGGGTAAATGATGACGTGGATAGGTCCTCGGTGCGAGGCTGCTGTCGAGCTATATCCACCCTGAAGGTTAATCTTGGACAATATCTGATGATCGACTCTTTTAAATGAAACCAGAGAGCGTTGACAGAGAGGAGAAGGTAGAAATGACTCAGCTTGTAACTGAAAATATGGATGGAGGACAACAGTTTAGCTTGTTAGGTTGTCGCTCTAGCACTGAGCTAATACATATAAGACGCTATAGCGTCGGCGCTATCGTGAAGGCTAACAGGCTAAGCTGAGGTTCTTCTTCCATGAAGCAGCTCTGTTGTCCTCCATCTATATTTTCAGTTACAGGCTGAGTCATTTCTACCTTCTCCTCTCTGTCAACGCTCTCTGGTTTCATTTAAAAGAGTCGATCATCAGATATTGTCCAAGATTAACCTTCAGGGTGGATATAGCTCACTAGCAGCCTCGCACCGAGGACGTATCCACGTCATCATTTACCCAGAATGCTTTGTGTGTAAATAAAATGACTCCGTTCATGTTAAAATATAGTTTTAAAAATTTACAAAACTAAACAACCTACAGTATTTTTACAGTCTTTATTTTACAGTTAAAATAAATGTTTATCAAATAAAGTCTGTTACAAC